TGGATAATGTGGTGCAACTGCACAATGGAATAGGATTCAGCCATGAACGTGTTGATAACTCTATTGACATGTGGGACAACAGAGATGTAACTGAAAGTCACTGTGATACATGAAAGACAGAGAAAGACAAATGTCACAATATCTCACTCACATCTGAAATCTAAAATTGTTGACTTCATCCAGGACTAGTGTGATTGTTATGAGGGACTGAGGTGGTGGTGGAGAATGGTAGAGGAAATGTTGTTCCCATGACATAAATTGACAGTTCTGTGTGAGGAATAAGACCAAGAGATGTATTATGTTCCTAATAATTCATATTAAGTGTTAATATTGAGCATTCTCAGCAATGAAATGCTAGCATGATGTAATGTATATGTTAACGAGATTACTTAGTTATTTCACAAAACACTTGAACTTCAAAACATCAGGGTACAAAGCATAAATTCAATGTATCTGTTAAAGCAAAAAAGTGTGGTCCACAAACTCAGAGCAGCAACTTCAGTATCAACTGGGACCATGTTGCAAATGAAAATCCTGTAAGTCAACCTAGACATGCATAATTATATTCTGCATTTGAACAAAATGCCCAGTGACGCACATTCACATGGAAGTAGAGAGGTTCTGAACTGCAGTAGCACTTCTAATCCTCCCTAGTGGTCACATTTTACCAGATGACACTTTGTGATGAATTGTGCTGTGCATCTTAGAATGCTGACCATCATCTCTAGCTTCAACTTGCAAGCAACAGCACCAACTTTCCAGTTGTAGCATACAGAGTTTTCTGCAGACACTGCCAAGTGTCTCCTGGGTGCCTATCCTCCTGTCCTGGAGGACACCAGAACTCAAGCATGGGAACCAGAACTCAAGCATGGGACCTGGAACATCCTGACTGAGTTTCAAACAAAACTATGCCTTACTTAGGCCAAAACTGTAGGCAAATAATTAAGCCTCTGTGAGACATAGAGGTTGTTCTCTAAATGAAAAATGGGTACAGAATGGTAGAACTATCATATATCACATGCATGGAATTTAAATAATCCAATTCTTATAAGATTTTGACGTAGGCTTATAGTGGACAAAAATGTAAATATAAATCTTAAATATCAAATATTTAAGAAATTAGAACTGAATTTCCTGTTTTAAGGATGTGTTGTCAACAAAAACTTCCCCATGCTTTCATGGAGAAGTTTTCATGGAGAACTAGAAGACAAGGGTTGTGATAATGTCTCATGATTACCTATAAAAGAACATCTTGATGAAGAGGGAACAGTCATTTCATGAGCTTGCAAGGGGTGTATTTTCACTACAAGTCAAGAAAAGTCTGGCAACTCAGATTTTGAGTAAAACTGGAACAAAGAATTAAGCAAAAGTGCTGAGGAGATTTGACCAAGAAGTCAGGAGAATTCATGCAAAGGAGTAATAAAGACTGGATTCACCTGATTTCTAAGCTGATCTCCAGGGAACATACATTGAGCAAGAAGCTCTTCTTTCTGCTCAGACCAGTGGCCCCCAGGGAAATCAGTGGCTCAGAGGCTAAAGTAACAAGAGGAAATATGACTAGTAAGTAGGTAGAGAGGAACAAATACAACCTCTGGTATTGTTCTTCAGAGGGCATATTCCTGGGCTGGACAGGACGTGTGGTTCCTTTTGGAGTTCTAAGTCTGGCCAGTGCACCAGTTCTTCACTCCCCCTTGACATCTTGTCTGGGCAGTACTTTATTCTTCATCCTAACCATCCAGGGAGGAATCCAGACTTCCATATGCAGATTTTCTATTCATTGACCCCATTCAGGTGAGTCTGGGTCCCTGGAAAGTAGAAAGGTTCAACAAGAATTTTAGCAAGACGAAATTTACCTGTGTCACCTGAGAACCACACCTAGCAGAGATCTGAGAGATTCCTGTGTGTTTGCTTAATTTATTATCAACTTATTCAATATTTTTTAAATAAATGTTTATAGACTGCATGCATAGATCTTTGCTGACAATTATGTGATGAGAATGGAAGTCTAATTTGATGAGACTGAATAAAGCAGTGGTGTAAAATATTCCAATAAAATAGAACACGTCCAATGAGTTTTGTATTAGGGAGGAAGAAACTTGAGTATCAGACTTGCAAGTCTGTATAGTGAAGTGGGGGCATTTTTCTCTGATTTTTGATATGGAGTTTTACCTGAGATTGTTTCTATATTCCTTAGAAAGAACACACTAATGCCTTGCTAACAAACACCTCTTTTGGACAACAGTTAGTAAGACATTTCACCATGTCTTGACTCATACTGGGGATTCACAGGAATAAAATAATCTTTATTTGATATTTTTAAGTGGAAAACTAAAGAGACTTATGCTGTAATTCTTTTGCTTTTGCTCAGGCTGTGTATATTCTGACGTTTGTTTGTTTTTCCTTTCTTTTGCAAATCCAAATTTTCCTGCATATTCTTTAATATTTTGGAACTGAGTTTGTCATTTGATTTTAGTTTTCCTAAGGAAGAATTGGAGTTTTTTCACTAGGTTTTTGGATTGCCATTTCGGTCCTCCATATATGTATAGAGTTTTTTGGGGAGTATATGAAAGTTGTAGTATAGATGGTCAAATACCTTAATCCCTCACTTGAGTTTTCAATTTTAAAAGTTCTTCACTATTAGTATTAATCAATTTCCTTTTGTACCTTTTGCTGTCATATTTCCTCTGTTTTTCTTTATTACCCTTCTTTACATTTTCAGATTGGTTCCATTTTTTAAGTAGTCATCATCTTCTGCCATCTTGTGAAGCTCATTCTTTTGCCTTCAAATAACATCACCTACATCCATTTCACATGTATATTTTTTGGTGGGACTGGGGTTTGGCCTCAAATCTTCTTGTTTGCAAAGCTGCCATTCCCAAAGTAAGTACACAAAAGCTTGACCCTCACCTACATCATATAATAAACTTCATTATATTTACAATGATCTTATTTGTGAACAACATGTTAAAATAATCAGAATCATGATCTCACTGTGAAGAATGAGTGAGATGATGCATGTACCACATGGGCTCATATGAATGGCAGGAACTCACAAAGGAGCTAGTAGGATGTATTAATAATGCTTAGTACTTAATTTCATTATTATTGCTATTGGATCTTGTGTGAAAAGCACAATTGTAACACATATTATCATAGAATAACATAACCTTAGAGTATTTCTTCCATGGTATCAAAAATATTTTTATGATTTATTGCCATTTAAGATATTTTCATTGAGAATTTTATTTTAGATTTTCATTCAATTCTCTTAAGAACAGTTGTTATAATTTCACTTATTTACTTCATTTTTCTTTTTATTTGAACTCTTAATTTGTTAACTTTTTCTACATTTTGTACATTGTTTTCATCATTGAGAAAACTCAAAACAGAATGAAGTAAGTAAGATATTATGATATAACATCACAATTGCCAAGGCAGAAACTAATAAAATGTATTCATACCTGTATAAATACCACAAGGATGAGTCATTTGAAGGAAACCAATATATTGCAATCATGTATTTGCAGGATTTGCAGTTCTTGTAGCCAGAGTTCTTGAGTTCATATATTCCAAAGTGGAAATAATCCATTTTAACATGATACTGTTTACAATTTTTCATTGTTCTATACAAGATTTTTCCATATTTTTCCTCCAGGATGTAGACTTACAACATTTTTTTTCTTGTAGAATCCTTGTCTAAGCAAATCATGATAGTTATAATACAGATGCCTGATTGCTACACAAAGAAGGAAATAAGGAAGGATCCACTCTGATGCCTTTGAAATCAAAATACTGCCAGATTCAATGTACATTAAATATCTGAGTTAGTGAGATTCACATATGCATGAATAGCATGGTAACATCAGAAGAGAAAGGGAGGGGAAATGTGGAATTTTCTTTGATGGATATGAAGTTATTTTGTATGAGTTGATTAATTCTCCCATACAACAGAGTACCTTGCACTAGCACTGCAAAATTTTCTATATGGATGGATCTTATATAAGGTGTTTCCATCCACCAGAATCATCAATAAGACAAAATGGATATGAGGACACTCTGAGTGGCAATGGATATTTGTAATATTAACTGTGATGATGGTGTGACCAGGGATTGTAAAGGAATAACTCCAAAGGTTTTACAATTACATAGGTGAGTTCTGTATACCTATTATTCAAGAGGTGGCTTAAAATAAAGTACAGTAATAACATCAGAATGGAGGACTCTCTGCATCTGACAAGCTTTAATTTTCTGTAGTAACAGGGAGGCCACCTCTCTCTTACTTATTCTGGTCACCACCATTGCTTTCTTCTGAAATCTGATATGTGGAAAGGGTCCCATCTTCATGGCCATTGCGCTGCTACTTCTTCCTGCCAGACAGAAATGTCTGGGGTAACCTTGTTGTTTAAAATAGTTCTTCTTTGAAGTTTTGGTTCATATATCATCTTTTTTATCTGTCTTGCCTAAACCACATAAAAAGTATATTCATCCCCTCTCCATCTTACCTGCATTCTTTGGTTCATAGCAATTAGTCCCATCTGATTTTCATATAATAATTTTCTGTGTTTTTAAACATACATAAAACTGGAGATATTTGTGGGATGCAATGTCAATGTATACAATGTATACATACTCTAATGTTCAAGCCTATATCCTCAGCATGCATTATATCTTTAAAGCAAACACATTCCACATCGTCTTCAAGGTCATATTGTTTGATAATTTCCTTATCTGTTTATATTATTTTCACAAGTGGAATGTAGGGACTTTGATGTGTCAGCACACTGCAGTCATTGTCCAGACCGTGCTAGAAACATGGCTGGAATTTATATTTCTAAAGTACATGAAAGACTTGTGTGTAAAATCTGTGGAATACTCAACATATTTAGGAAACAACAGATAGAGGCTCAGGAATCCTTAATCAGAGATGGCACAAGGAAGCAACTAAATGAACAGCTAATATGGAAAGTAATTGTGTTCCCTTTCTCTTTCTGGTAGTCTCAATGGAATCAAGAAATTATACACACATTTCAAAACTTCTTCTTCTGGGATTTTCAGAAGACCTGGAACTACAGTTTCTTTTGTATGGGATTTTCCTTTTCATGTACCTGGTCACTGTGCTTGGGAATGTGGTCATTATTCTGGCTACAATTGTGGATTTCCACCTGCACACACCCATGTATTTCTTCCTCTCCAACCTGTCATTTGTAGACATTTGCTTCACTTCAACCACTGTCCCAAAGATGCTGGTGAACATTGAGACACACAACAAGGCAATAACTTATGAAGGCTGCATTATCCAGATTTATTTTTTTGCATTATTTGTAGTTTTGGATAACTTCCTCCTGTCTGTGATGGCCTATGATAGGTTTGTGGCTATCTGTCACCCACTGCATTACCAGGTCAGCATGAAGCCCAAGCTATGTGTGTTGCTGGTGTTGGCGTCCTGGATCACAAGCGCCCTGAATTCATTTTTACAGAGCTTAATGGTACTGTGCCTTTCCTTCTGTACACAGGTGGAAATCCCACACTATTTCTGTGAACCTAACCAGTTGGCCCACCTTGCCTGTTCTGACACACTTCTTAATAATATCATGATGAATATTGCAGCTGGATTGTTGGGTGTTGGCCCTCTCACTGGCATCCTTTATTCTTACTCTAAGATAGTTTCATCTGTACATAAAATCTCATCAACTCAGGGCAAATATAAAGCATTTTCCACCTGTGTGTCTCACCTTTTAGTTGTCTCCTTATTTTACTCTACACTTTTAGGAGTGTACCTCAGTGCTGCTGGGAACCAAAATTCACACTCAAGTTCAACAGCTTCAGTGATGTATACTGTGGTCACCCCCATGCTTAACCCCTTCATCTATAGTCTAAGGAATAAGGACATCAAGAGAGCTCTGAAAACACTCTTTAAGAAAGTATAAAATTTCCAATTATCCTGTGGCTCAAATAATGCATTTAATCAAACCTCACAGTGAGAAAGTGCAATATTTAATCAGATTGTGGAAGTTGAAATTGCCAAAATTTATCTTCTGCTGTTTCTACTTTATTGACATCAACTTCTCTATAATAAAAGTAAGGGTAAAGAAAGGTCAACCACCTGTGTTGTTTTTTCTCTCTCTCCTCTCTCATATTAAGAATGGCTTGCAATTTTATTTTTCAAAACAGCTATTTTAAAAATTGGATTAGAAAAATTAAACCTCCTATTTAACCATTGGAGCAACATGAAATTCTTTTTTCTAGAAAGGAACAAAGACTTAGTAGCATGCCATTATAATGGAACAAAATAGGTGGCAGCTATACAAAAGAGTAAAATGTACAACACGAATTTTTTAACAATAACTTCTCAAATCTTGTACAACAGACCAAATTAGTTCTATTTTTATTGTAAAAGGTAATCATGTTGTGGACACCACCTGTGTGAACAAACTAAACACTGGATTTTGTTCTTAGTATAAACAAACTATAGCCATGTGTTGTACACCATCTATTGCAGAAAGCACTCTTGGGACAATTATCCCTTCATGCATCACTACATAAATGTCTCTTTCCAATGATGTAGGTTTTAACACATCTTTGTATATTATAATTGCTCATTGGCTCGCTGCATTAACAGTACTCTGATTTCTTACTTAGCTTGGAGTCCACACTACCTAGTGTCCTCACAAGCAAATTCTGATTAGCAAATGACTCCAAGGGAAAGCTACATAAATAGAGATCTTTGAAATAATGACATTCATTGTTTGGAGAAAACAAAAGGAAAATCTTATGATAAACAAGTCAGAAAATGAAATAAAATGACATGGCTATAGATACCTCAAAGATAGTTTCTACAAAGAAAGTACAGAAATGTTCACGATAGAGAATATGCCTAAATGATAACCATGTGAGGCACATGTTAATTAGCAACATTTAGCCATTCCGTAAAGTATATATACTTCATAGCTTTATGCTGCACACCACAAATAAATACAATTTATGTTTCAAATATACAAAGAATGGCCTACCAATTTTGGACTGGCAGCCTCACTATATTATTGCTAGTGACAACAGCAGTAGGGCTACTCTAGATGCAGCAAATCTTACCATGGTCACCTGCCACTTTTTATATTTGGGGAGCTTATCTGCATAACTGGTACAAATAAATTGTCTTTTTACCTTTAGACACCATATATTTTATTTCTTAATACTACAGCTTTGTCTTTTGAAGGGACAATTTTATGAATAGCAATCATCTGCCATCCTGTGCAATATAATCTTTACAGTCAACTAAACATCATCTACACCTTTTCATGACTGCTTTTATGTGAAATTTCTCTGGCTTTTAAATCAGAATCTTCCTTCCTCAGCTTCCCAAGATCAGGGATTATTGGCATATGTCTCTATGTCTGGCTCCAAAATGTGTTTTTATCCACACAAGCTTCATCGTGTTTATAAAAGTTTGCTCTTATATATAATAGTAAGTAGCTATAATCAGTGTGTTACTGTGAGGAACAGGGGAAATAGAACATGTGACGCATGTAGCTCTTGTGGGATAAGACCTCATAAAGGATCTAATGGAATATTTTAATCACAGTTGTTACTTCATTTTGTTGTCAATGCCTTGAAGTGTGTCCAATGTGGAAAGCAAATTTGAATTCATTTATGAGTACAAAGGATGAAAATATTTGTTTAGGTACTGTTTCTTCCATTGCTCCTGAGTTGTATATATTTGTCACTTTATTTCCAGATTTTGTTATTTAAATTCTGAATTAGAGACTCATGTAGAGATTATTAGGTGATTGCTTCAGATCTATTTATTCAAAATTTATTTCAGACTTTCATTCATATTCATTGAGTATTGTTTGAGTCCACTTATTTATCTCATCACTGTTTTTAGTGTATACAAATCTTTTATTTTTCTATACAAGTGCCCACCTTGGTATGAACACAAACAAAAAGAGCAATACATGTGATATTTCAACTCAACCCAATCTGAAATTGGACTAGAAAATGTACACTAGAATGGAATAAATGCATGGATGCTATAATGTCCCCAGGGTTAAATCCTGTAAAAAATTGAACACATGGTCATGGCTGAGGCAGAATCTTACATGGACTCTTACAGTGAGAGCTGTTCTCAGAGCCAGAGTCCCTAAGCAAATTTATACCAAATTTGAAATAATTTAACATGATATTGTGTTGTGGATTTTGTATAGATGTTCATCAAGGACATTGGCCTGTAGTTTTCCCTTGGAGCATCTTTAACTAAATCATACTCTTATAACACAGACACCTAAATCCTAAATAAGTTTCCATCCTATTTGAAGCACAGGGCATCACTGAAACCAAAATACTGCATTTGGAAACTCAGAAATGGTGTTTTCATATGTAACATCAAGTGTGGTTATGGAACAACCTGGTATGTTTAACTCATCGATTGTGTATCTTGCACATATGCAGTTTTTCCCCTTAAAACTACACATCAAAAAAGCCACCTCAACAAAAAAATACAAAGGACCACACGGCACCTCTGTAATTAAAAAAATACTTATTACTTCAGCATCTTCAGGGCCCTATTTCTTTCCTCAAAACCCTCAGACAGAATCTTCCCCAAGTCTCCCTCTTCCTCATTCTGATTACCACTGTGGTTTTGTTCTGAACTGTGACATATGAAACAAGCAACACCCTCAGGACCTTTGCACCACTCCTTCTTCCTGCCAGACACACCCTGTACAGATAACCGAGTGAAAACCTTCTTCTTCTATTATGTCCTTTCAAATGACATCTATTTACATCCCTTGCATGGACTCATTAAAAAAAAACCTCCATATTCTCTGCTTTGACCAACCCTTGATGTCTGTGGAGCAGTTATTAACTTTCTATAACTTGATAATATTATGTGATGCTTTCATAAATGTATACATAGAGTAGTTGTCAAAATATCTCCTAGAATATTAATCATGTTTTGGATAGATATTTAAAATCTTATTGTGTATCTTAGTTTTTCATAAGTTACAAATTTTCTTTCCTTTACCCATGATTGAATGGCTGGGAGTTTTAATTTTCAATGGCATTCCTAAGTGCATGCAAGAGTTCTTTGGTAAAACAAAATGATAAACAATAGTGAGAGAGGCACAGGAGCTCCCAATGAGTCATGACACAGGGAATATCCTAAAGGACACTAAATACAAAAATTAGCCACATTATTTCTCTTTCCCCATGGTCAGTTAAAGCACATGTAACCACAAAATAATACAAGGATTTTAGAATTCCTTCCAGGATTTTCAAAGCAAAACTACCAGACCCCCTGTCATGGGCTCTTTCTCTATACATACCTGATAACAGTTGTTGGGAAATTGATCATCATTCTGGCCATGATCTCAAATGTACCCCTGCACATGCCAAAATACTTCTTCCACTCCAGCTTTACCTTGGTGGACATTTGTTTTACCTCCACCACTGTCCCAAAGGTGTGGTGAACATCCAGACAAAGAGCAGGAGCAAGGTCATAATTTATATCCAGATAAATATCATCCAGATATTTTTTCCCATTATTTGTGGGGCTTAACAACTTCCTCCTGGTTGTGTTAAAGTATGAGAATGTTGTAGCCATCTGTCACTCCTGCATTAAACAATCACATGAAGCCTGAGCTCTCTGAATTGCTGGTGCTGGTGTCCTGGGTCACTAGTGCCTTGAATTCCTTGTTACAGAGTCTTATGGCATTGCAGCTGTCCTTCTGCACAGACATGGACATTCCACACTGTTTTGTAAACATAACCAGCTGGATCACCTTGCCCACTCTGACACTTTTCTTCATAATATGGTGATGAATTTATTAATCTGACTTATGTATGGGAATCACTTGCCAGCATCTTTTACTCTTAGTCCATCTGTGCAACCTTATCAACTCATAAGTGAACACCATTTTCCACCCATTTGTCTCACTTCTCAGTAGTCTCCTTATTTTAATGTGAACTCCTGAGAGTGTAACTCAATTCTGCTGTGACAAAAGCTCACATATAAGTGTCACAGCCTCCCTGATGCACACCATGGTCAACCACTTGCTCAACCCCTTCATCTGCAATCTGAGGAATAGGACATCAAGAGAGCTCTGAAAAGGTTTTTGAAAAAGAAACAACAAAAGTGACCATTCTAGTGAGCCTTAAAATGTGCTATTTATCATAAGCCATGCAGTTGCAGAGCTAGAACTTAGAATATTTCAGTTCCTGTTCTTTTCTAGAGTTTTTTTTTATTTCACCTTATCTATACAATTATTATTTCATCTTATAAGCTTTCTGCTCACTCTGTGACATCTAAGTAGTGTTTCCCTTAATAACTTTGGTAGTACCTCAAAGTATTTATCACTCATGTATTGGAAAGATGGTGAATTCCCTTTTGTCATGGGATAACATGGGTTGCTTAAGAATAATTCTTAAAATGACAGATCATAACAAATTATCTTCTTTTTTTTGTTACTGTACACAATATTGTGTTATATTCCACCTATGTAGAAAAGCCACACTACATAGAAAAAACTACTTAAGTGGCTATTTCAGTAATTTTACAGTAGAGGAAATCCAGACCCTTCAGTTTTGGACATGTGGGTTTATCATGCCATCAATTATTACTATTTTAATGGCTCTTCCTGAAAACATTACATTGCATGGTACAGTGTGCTCTGTAATTCAGCAACAATTTTACTCTCAACCAACAGGATTTTGTTATGTTATTCAGCTTGGTGTCCACAGTACCTACCATAATCCCTGAAAGAAGTCATTATCAGTACACATTCAAGTGAAGTCCACAGAGAAGTTCAAATTTGAATTAATAAAGGGGATTGGTGTTTTGATACTTAGAAGATGTGAAGGTCCTCAAGATTCGATTTTATGTCTACTCATGCAGCTGGCGCTGAGCTAGGTAGAGAAGTATGGCTATACGCGA